GCACGGCCGTCAGTTTATGCACAGCAAGCTCCTACACCCAGCAATGTGGTAACAACCAGTTAATCCACCTTACGGGAAGAGAGTGGGCTGTGTCCCACGGTGGGATGGAGCAAGAGCTCTCCAATTCCCAGAGCCATGGAGTGATAGAGGCCGGCACGTGGAGGTAGTGTGGCCTCATGCTCTGGGGCCTGCAGGCACGGACTGGAACTTAAGCACTTTGTGGTTACATTATCATTCTGGACTTTTTCACTGTAATCTTAGGTACTTGTACCTAAGATGGTGCCATTAAAGGCAACCACTGTAAAAGCTTTTCACTGTGCTCTAGTACTGAAGTACATGTGACAATAAAGGATATTCTATTCTATTATATATTATCCTGAGGGTACAAGGGGAAACATCCCTGGCTCTGCTTTGAAATTGTGCCGGTAAATCTAAATCTACAAGGGCACTGGTTGAACATATAATTTGAGAAAACAGCACCTCCAGCAGCGCGGCACTCCTTTAGTATTGGCCTTAATGAGGTTTATTAAATCATGAGGGGCATAGATAAAGTGAACGACAAGGGTCTTTTACCCTTGGGTGGGGGAGTTCCAAACAAGGGGGGATAGGTTTAAGGCGAGAGGAGAAAGATTTAAAAAGGGATGAGGGGCAACCTTTTTACACAGAGAGTGGTTCGTGTGTGAAATGAACTGCCAGAGAAAGTGGTGGATGTGGGTACAGTTAGAAGTTTAAAAGACATTTGGATAAGTTCATGAATAGGAAAGGTTTGGAGGAATATGGGCCAAGTGCAGGCAGGTGGGACTATTTTAGCTTGGCAACATGGTTGGCATGGACTGGTTGAACCGAAGGGTCTGTTTCCCTGCTGTATAACTCAATGACTCTATGACACTGGATTGGCAGTATGTTCAAACCCCTGGAGGCAGACATGAATGCACAACTTTCTCTCTCAAAGTGAGCAATGGTTGGCATTCACTGCTAACTACACATATGTTGCTTTTAGACTAATGAAGTAAGTTGATTGATTGATTGTCATGTGTACCAGAGTACAGTGAAAAGCTTTGTTTACGAGCAACACAGGCAGATCATAGTAAGCAGGGATGTACAGATCAAAACTACTCAGATGGAGGTATATAGGTTACATTGCATAAGGGGTGCTCTAGGCAAGATCAACGTTAGTGAGATCAGTGTTATTTGAGGCTAGAGAGTCCATTCATCAGTTTGATAACGGCCGGGAAGAAGCTGTTCCTGAACCTGCTGGTGCATGTGTTCAGGCTTCTCTATCTTCTGCCTGATGGAAGAGGTAGGAGGTCATTACCGGGGTGCGATGGGTCTTTGTTGAAGTTATATGCCTTTCCGCAGCAGTGAGCCATGTAAATAGAGTCCATGGATGGAAGGTTGGCTTCTGTGATGGTCTGGGATGTGCACACCCCCTTCTGTAGTTTCTTACGGTCCTGGCCAGACCAGTTGCCGTACCAGGCCGTTATGCACCCAGACATTATGCTTTCAATTTCAAAGTGACAATGTAGTTGTGATAATGGAAGGAGTGATTGTTGAAGGTGGTGGAATGGGATCTGATCCAGTGGGGCTGGTTGGTGTTGTGCTGGAGCTACACCAATCCTGTAGACAGCATTCCATCACTCTCTTGTCTTGTTAATGGGTGAAACAGTTAACAGTGTGGCCCAGGTTGATAGGGTTGTTAAGAAGGCATACAGTATGTTAGGTTTTATTGGTAGAGGGATTGAGTTTCGGAGCCATGAGGTCATGTTGCAGCTGTACAAAACTCTGGTGCGGCCGCACTTGGAGTATTGCGTACAGTTCTGGTCACCGCATTATAGGAAGGATGTGGAAGCATTGGAAAGGGTGCAGAGGAGATTTACCAGGATGTTGCCTGGTATGGAGGGAAGGTCTTATGAGGAAAGGCTGAGGGTTTTGAGGCTGTTATCGTTAGAGAGAAGAAGGTTAAGAGGTGACTTGATAGAGACATACAAGATGATCAGAGGATTAGATAGGTTGGACAGTGGGAGCCTTTTTCCTCGGATGGTGATGGCTAGCACGAGGGGACATAGCTTTAAATTGAGTGGTGATAGATATAGGACAGATGTCAGAGGTAGGTTCTTTACTCAGAGAGTAGTAAGGGCGTGGAATGCCTTGCCTGCAAAAATAGTTGACTCGCCCACTTTAAGGGCATTTAAATGGTCATTGGATAAACATATGGATGATAATGGAATAGTTTAGGTTAGATGGGCTTCAGATTGGTTTCACAGGTCGGTGCAACATCGAGGGCCGAAGGGCCTGTACTGCGCTGTAATGTTCTATGTTCTAAGTTCACTCACACTCTCACTCTCACACTCACATTCTCACACTCACTCTCACTCTCACTCTCACTCTCACTCTCACACTCACACTCACACTCACTCACACTCACACTCACACTCACACTCACACACAGACACATACACATTCGTGCGGGCCCACGCGCTCGCACTCGCGCACTCTTGCACTCTCTCTCGCACACTCACAGACTCACACACAGACTCACTCACACACACTCACTCTCACACACACAGACTCACTCACTCACTCACACACAGACTCATTCACACACTCACACTCACACTCAGACACAAGGGAGCCCTTCCCTCAATGTGCAATAGAACTGAAAGTTTCTCAGCATGAGCTTGTATCTGCTGCCTTAGGGGTCCTTTCTACGTCGCTGTTTAAATTCTCGTCGTCACATTTTGGGAAGGACGTGAGAGTCCCAGAGAGGGATTGGAGCCGGCAGGATAGGGGCTGGAGATGCTGAGAACAAAGCAGGTAGAAGGGAGATTTAATAGAAATGAAGAGAGCCGAGGAGATGGTGACGTAGAGGCAATGTCACTGGACCAGGAACCCATGCCCCAGGCTTATGATCTGGAATCCCACCAAAGCAGCTGGTACAATTTGATTAATAAATTCAACTGAGAGGCTGCAAAATTATCATCAATTGTTTACAATAAAGCCTCTTTAACAAGGGAAATCTACAATCTTTATTATCTAGTGTCCTACGCCCAAGCTGCTCCATCAATGACTTAAGGACAGAAGTAGGGATGGTCACTGATGATTGCACAATTTTAGCACAAAATAGACCTTCAGCAAGACCTGGACAATATTCAGATTTGAACTGATAAGTAACATTTGCACCATGTAAATGCCAATCAATAACCATTTCTAACAAGAGAGCATCTAACCATTATCCCTTGACATTGAATGCATTATCATCACTGAATCCCCCACTATCATTGTTCTGAGGGTTACTATTGACCAGAAACTGAACTGGACCAGCCAGTAGTATATATGGCTGGTTTAGTTCAGTTTCTGGTCAATAGTCACAGGTTGGGAATTCTGTGGCAAGTAACACAACTGCTAATTCTCCAAAGCCTGGCTCCCATTCAGGAGGTACAAGTGAGGTGTGTGATGAAACATGGATGGGTGCAGCCCCAACAACACTTTAGAAGTTTGACACCATCCAGGACAAAGCAGCCGCTTGATTGGCATCACATCCACAAGTATCCACTCCCTCCACCACCAACGCTCAGTAGCAGCAGTGTGTACTATCTACAAGATGCACTGCAGAAACTCACCAAAGATCCTCAGACACCACCTTCCAAACCGACGACCACTTCCATCTGGAAGGACAAGGGCAGCAGATGCATGGGAACACCACCCCCTGCAAGTCACTCACCATCCTGACTTGGAAATATATTGCTGTTCCTTCAGTGTCGCTGGGTCAAAATCCTGGAATTCCCTCCCTTAGGGCATTGTGGGTCAACCCACAGCAGGGGGACTGCAGCGGTTCAAGAAGGCAGCTTACCCCCACCTTCTCAAGGGGCAACTAGGGACGGGTAATAAATGTTGGGCCCAACCAGTGACACCCACTTCCTGTGATGTAAAATTTTAAAAGAAACGTATAGGCCAGAGAATTTCCCTTAAAGGTGTTAGCGGTGGGTTTATATAATAGTTGATGATATTTTCAGTCACCATCACTGAGGCTACTTCAATATAGTTTAAAATTCACCAGCTGTGGTGGCATTTGAATACCCTAACCCCTCAGAGCATACTTGCCAGTCTAGTAGCATCAGCACTTCAGTAGCATCTTCAGATTGAATACTAGGGGAATTGGATCTAGAGGAGACAAGAATCTCTAGGACTTGTAGTGAAGAGACAAGTGCCTTGCGGAGCTGGGGTGAGTCAGGGGAAGTTCTTCCTCCCCAAGTCTGTGTAATGGTCTCCCAACTTCAGGCTCCCACCTCCAACAATGCCCCTACCCCTACCCAACCACAACAAGCTTCCCCAGTTCAAAGCAGACTGTACCTCACACAGAATAGAGAGCTATTGAGTGCTTCAAGATGGAGGTTGAAAGGTCATAGAGTCATAGAGATGTACAGCATGGAAACAGACCCTTCAGTCCAACTTGTCCATGCCTACCACATATCCTCAATTAATCTAGTCCCATCTGGCCCATATCCCTCTTAAACCCTTCCTATTCAGATGCCTTTTAAATGTTGTAATTGTACCAGCCTCCACCACCTCCTCTGGCAGCTCGTTCCATACACGCATCACTCTCTGTGTGAAAAAGTTGCCCCCCTTTTTAAATCTTTCCCCTCTCACCTTAAACCTATGCCATCTGGTATTGGGACTCTCTACCTTGGGGAAAAGACCTTGGCTATTCACCCTATCCATGCCCCTCATGATTTTATTAACCTCTATAAAGTGACCCCTCAGCCTCTGACACTCCAAGGAAAATAGCCCCAGACAATTCAGCCTCTCCCTATAATTTAAACCCTCCAGCCCTGGCAACATCCTAAGTGTTCAGGCACAATGGGAATAGAGGAATACCGGGATGGAATGGGAAAGTGAAGGTGGTATGCTGAATCGGGTAGGATGGTGTAGTATATTTGAGGGAGCCATATGACCTGTCTCTTATTCTTATGTTCATTATTTCCACGTTATTCATTATTTCCATGTCTTTTTTTCTCATTCCAGTTAAATTTCATAGCTGCCATTTGGGAAAGCACATTAAGTTAAGTACTGATGATGCAAATTTTGCGATCCTTTCCAATGGCTCATTGTATGCAACTCATGCTCTAAACCTTGACTCAACATATCATTTCAAAGTGATTGCAAAGGATCAAAAAACACATAAGGAATGGAAAGCAAGAATCCGTTTAATCCCTGCAGCAAAAGATTTAACAAATGAATTGAATAAGGTAAGAAATGTCTTTTAATCAAATCCCTTTTGTGTGAGTTTGCTGGTAGAGTGTAGGCTCAATAAATTCTACAACCAAGAAGGCCCAGACATAAGTTGTAAACATCCTATCTCATTGAATGGCAGAGCAGATTTGTTGGGCCAAATGGCCTACTTCTGCTCCTGCATCTGATGGTCTTAGTAAGTCACCTCCCCACTCCCACTATCCTAGCACTCTCAGATTTCTTCCTTTGAGACCTCTATTAGGGTTTTTCCTCTTTTGTACTGGCCTGAAGGACTGACATATGATGATAGAACATAGAACAGTACAGCACAGTACAGGTCCTTCAGCCCACGATGTTGTGCCGCACTTTGACCCTAAACCTAAGGTCTATCTAACCTCCACCCCTACCTTATACTATCATCCATATGCCTATCTAAGAGCCGCTTAAAAGCTCCTAATGAGGCCGACTCCACTACCCTCTCCAGCAATGCATTCCACGCCCTGACCACTCTCTGAGTAAAGAACCTACCTCTGATGTCTCCCCTATATTTATCTCCACTCACTTTAAAACTATGCCCCCTCGTAATAGCTACCTCCACCGGAGGAAAAAGTCTCTGGCTGTCCATTCTATCTATACCTCTGATCATTTTGTACACCTCTATCAAGTCACCTCTCATCCTTGTCATTCTAAAGAGAAAAACCCTAGCTCTCTCAACCTTTCCTCGTAAGACCTTCCCTCCATTCCAGGCAACATCCTGGTAAATCTCCTCTGCACATTTTCCAACACTTCCACATCTTTCCTGTAATGAGGCAACCAGAACTGGACACAATACCCTGGCCGAACCAGGGTTTTGTATAGCTGGAGCATAACTTCACGGCTCTTGAACTCAATCCCTCTATTAATGAAAGCCAGCACACCATACGCCTTCTTAACAACTCTATCCACCTGGGTGGCACCTTTCAGGGAACTGTCGACATGAACCCCGAGATCCCTCTGCTCCTCCACACTGCCAAGAATCTTTCCGTTAACCCTGTATTCTGCTTTCAAGTTTGTCCTTCCAAAATGAATCACCTCACACTTTTCAGGGTTAAACTCCATCTGCCACTTCTCAGCCCAGCTCTGCATCCTATCAATGTCCCTTTGTAACCTAGAACAGCCCTCCGCACTATCCACAACGTGACCCACCTTCGTATTGTCCGCAAACTTACTAATCCACCCTGCCACTCCTACATCCAAATCATTTACAAAAATCACAAATAGTAGAGGACCCAGAACAGATCCTTGTGGTACACCACTTGTAACTGAGTACCATGTTGAATATTTTCCGTCCACTACCACCCTTTGTCTTCTAAGGGTCAGCTCATTCTGAATCCAATCTGCCACATTTCCCCCTATCCCATGCCTCCTTACTTTCTGCATGAGCCTACCATGGGGAACCTTATCAACGCCTTACTTAAATCCATGTATACCACATCCACTGCCCTACTTTCAGCCACGTGTTTGGTCACCTCTTCAAAGAATTCAGGAAGGTTTGCGAGGCATGATCTACCCCCCACAAATCCATGCTGACTATCACAAATCAAACTGTGCCTATCCAAGTCATCATAAATCCTATCTCTCAGAGCCCTTTCCAATAAGTTGCCCACCACTGACGTAAGACTAACTGACCTGTAATTTCCAGGGTTATCCCTATTCCCTTTTTTGAACAAGGGAATGACGTTTGCCTCTCTCCAATCTTCTGGAACTATACCCGTGGACAGTGAGGATGAAAAGATCATCCCCAAAGGTCCTGCGATCTCTTCTTCACTTCCCATAGAATCCTTGGATAAATCCCATCAGGCCCGGGGGATTTATCTATCTTCAAGTTCCCCAAAATTCCTAGTACATCTTCCTTACTAACATCCACCTCCTCTAGCCTACCAACTTGTTTCACACTGTCCTCCTCTACAACTAGGTCCCTCTCCGTTGTGAATACTGAAGAAAAGTATTCATTAAGGACTTCTCCTATCTCTTTAGGCTCTTTGCACAAATTCCCTTTACAATCCTTGATCGGCCCTACCCTTTCTCTGGTCATTCTCTTATTCCTCATGTATGTGTAAAAAGCCTTGGAGTTTTCCTTGATCCTATCTGCCAAGGTTTTCTTATGCCCCCTTATAGCTCTCCTAAGCACTTTCTTCAGCTCCGTCCTGGCTAACTTGTATCCCTCCATATAAGCATCCTTCTTCCTCTTAACCAGTCGTTCGACCTCTCTTGAGAACCAAGGCTCCCTCACTCGACCGCACCTTCCCTGCCTGCTAGGGACAGACATATCGAGCACATGCAGTATGCATTCCATAACAACCTCCACATTTCAATAGTGCTCTTCCCTGACAGCATCTGTTCCCAATTTATGTTACCCAGTTCTTGCCTAACAGAATTATAATTACCCTTCCCCCAATTATAATTACCCTTCCCCCAATTATAAACCTTACCCTGCTGTATGTACCTATCCTTTTCCATGACTGTTGTAAAAGTAACAGAGTTATGATCACTACCGCCAAAATGCTCTCCTACCAACAGGTCTAACACTTGGCCCAGTTCATTGCCAAGCACCAAGTGGCCTCTCCTCGTGTTAATCTACCAACATACTGTGTCAGGAATCCTTCCTGAACGCACTGGACAAAATCTGCCCCATCTAAACTAGTACAACTGAAATGTTTCCAATCAATATTTGGAAAGTTGAAGTCACCCATGACTACAACCCTGTGACTTCTGCACCATTCCAGTATCTGCCTGCCAATCCGCTCCTCCACTTCTCTGCAACTATTAGGGGATCTGTAAAAACAACCCCCAACAAAGTGACTGCACCTTCCTTGTTCCTGACCTCAACCCAAACCGACTCTGTAGACATATCATTCTTGAACTGCCTTTCAGTAGCTGTTATACTAGCCCTGACTAGCAATGCCACTCCCCCGCCTCTTTTTCCACCCTCCCTATTTCTTTTAAAGCATCTAAATCCCAGAACTTCCAACAACCATTCCTGTCCCTGAGTTACCCAAGTTTCTGTAATGGCCACAACATCGTAGTTCCAAGTACTGACCCATGCTCTAAGTTCATCCGCTTTATTTCTGATAATTCTAGCATTGAAGTATACACACCTCAAACCATCTCTGTGTCCACAATTACGCTCCATCGACCGCATTTCTTTATTAACAATCTCACTCCCTGTTGTGTCTGTTGGAAGGCTGAATACCTCATCCTCTGAATTACAAATCCAGTTCCCCACCCCCTGCCAATCTAGTTTAAACCATCCCGTATAGCTCGAGCAAACCTCCCTCCCAGGATATTTGTGCCCTTCCAGTTCAGATATTGTTATTGTTAATTTCCATCCTAAAGTTGCAGACTGGAGAGAAATAAAACACAACCCAAACTGATCATACTTTTAAATTCTTTAGATTTTAGTCTCTAGCTTTCACAAGTGCTCAGGAAAATTGAAAAACGCATTTTTCGTTTCATAGAATAGAATCCCTACAGTGTGGAAACAGGCCCTTCGGCCCAACAAGTCCACACCGACCCTTGGAGCATCCCACCCAGACCCATCCCCCTATAACCCACACACCCCTGAACACTACGGGCAATTTAGCATGGCCAATCCACCTCGCCTGCACATCTTTAGACTGTGGGAGGAAACCCACGCAGACACAGGGAGAATGTGCAAACTCCACACAGACAGTCGCCCGAGGCTGGAATCAAACCCAGGTTCCTGGTGCTGTGAGGTTGCAGTGCTAACCACTGAGCCACTGTGCCGCTTTGCTGTTGAAGCTCTTCGTCTTGCCCTCATCAGGACAGATGCAAGAATGCCAAATTTCAAGCAATCACAATAATTTACACTGTAGGAGAAAACAGTGCCCATAACTATACTGACCACCAGCTTAAGATAATAATGTGGATTATTTATGCTCACTGGAAGTGACATTTATTAATATGCAGGTACTCATCCTCTGCAAACAAAAGGAATATATTCAAACCTTGTTTCTTTCTTAAACTACCTGAGAGTTAGCCCACAGTTCCCAGTTGTTTTTCCTTGGCAACACCTCAGCCAATCAGAGATGACTTGCTAACCAATCAGCACCCTTTCCAACCCCCGTGAAAAATCTCTGTGAACAAGCATCCTCAGCCCTTCCAGAGATTCGCCTCCCTCTGAGTGAAGATATTTCTCATCTCTCGGCTCAGGCTGACCCCTTGTTCTAGATTACACAGCCAAGGAAAGCATCCTCTCACTGTTTACTATGTCAATAAGATTGAGAATTTTAGATATATCCAGAGATTCATCATTCTCAGGGAAGATAACCACCAATATCCAGTCTCTTCCTGTTCTGACACTTATTCAGGTCTTATTCAACCTGCTACACTGGTTACTCTCTTGGGGGACATCTCGAGAGCCTCATTGGTCAATGGTGTCAATCTGCTCGCCTCTCTCTCTATACTGTTCACCCAGGTTTGTTGAGCTGATATGTCTGTCACAGAATAGAGAGGATGCCATAGCAGCAATGTCACTTGGCTAGCAATCCAGGACAGAAACAAAAATTGCTGGAGAAACTCAACAGGCCTGGTCGCATCTGTGGAGAGTTAATGTTTCAAGCCCAATGTGACTGTTCTTCAGACCTGATGGCAGCTAGAGAAAAGGTGCCACTTATGCTGAAGACAGGGGCTTGGTGGGGTTCGGGGGGGGGGGGGGCAAGGGGGGTGGGGAGGAGGTGTGTTAAATGAGCAGGTGCATATTTGCAGACAGAGTCCAGAGAGAGAGAAAGTAAGTTGAGCAGACAAAGGGATGGATAGTGTTAAGCAAGGGATACAGGAAAGCTGCTAATGGGGACAATGAGTCAGTGAGAATGGGTTGGCTGTGCTGACACAGCCTGTGTTGTGACAGGGCCTGGGATATGGGGTTCAGGTAAGGAGATGGAAGACGGTGTTCAGGCCCTAAAATGATTCAACTCAATATTGAGATCTGAAGGCTGCAGGGTCTCCAAACGGAATGCTTAACTTCCTCCCCCTCTAATCTGCCCAGAATCCCTCGGATTTTGAACACCTCAATCTAATCTCCTTCCCAGTCTTCACTTTTCCAAGAAAAGCGGTCCTGGCATGTCTAATCCAGCGACAAAGCACAGTTTTGTCATTCCTGGAGCTACTGTTACAGCTGCATAGCTGTGATCCTTTACCATGGAGGATTATTCTCAAATTAGGCTGCGTTTACAGTCGTCCTGTTCCAATCCTGTCATGGGGTCTAATTGGTATAATGTGGCCCACCCTGTGAATTAGACATGTAAAAAGCTCCTAGCTTGTTGCAGTTTTTTTTAAGAAGTGGTTTTCCTGATATGAGGAACAACATCAAACTATCATCAAAAACCTATCTGGTTTACTAATGTCCTTTTGGGAAGGAAATCTGCCATCCTTACCTGGTCTGGGCCTACATGTGACTCCAGACCCCCACCCAATTGGGCTGATTATTAACTGCCCAGAGTGAGCGAAAGCCAATCACTTTGAGGACATCTGGAGATTAGTAACAAATACTGACCTCGCTGCTGATGCCCAAGTGATATGTTTGGTGATAAGACACTGCCTTGCCTAATCGGTTATGATTTATTGCCGTTTCATGCTGTTATACGTTGAGATGGATCAGATTATGAGGGGTGTGGATGGAGCAGATAGGAAGCAATTGTTTCCCCTCAGTTGAAGGGTCAGTAATGAAGGGAAGTCATTTTAAGGGGATGGGAAGGAGCTTTAGAAGGAATTTGAGGAGAAATCTTTTCACCCAGAGGGTGGTGAAGGTCTGGAATGCACTGCCTGGGAGGGCAGTTGAGGAAGGAAACCTCATAGCCTTGGATGTGCACTCAAAACATCTTAACGTTCAAGGCTAAGGGCCTAGTGCTGGAAAGTAGAACTAGTATAGGTAGGTCAGAATAAACCCGATGGGCCAAAGAGCCTGTTCTGTAGGAGCAAATTACTGCAAATGCTGGAATCTATACTGCAGACAAAAAATGCTGGAAATCACAGTGGGTCAGGCAGCGTCCATGGAGAAAGAGAGAGCAAGCTAATGTTTCGAGTCTAGATAACTCTTCATCAAAGCCTCTACTACACTGTATGTTTCCATGAAAGAATGGGAAACAGAGAACTAAAATTCTTTGGATCGTAAAGTTTATTTTAGCATTGCAGCGTGAAGAGCTGAAATGAGTAACACTGAATTATAACAGTGCCTCCACTAGAGGGCAGCATAATTACAGTGTGACGTGTTTACATAGGCGGGTAGAATTATAAATGTGATAGAATTCAATTTACACTGCACTGATTTCTCAAAGGCCAGTGCCAACAGGTTCAGATTGTACCAACCTATGAGGCAGACTGGGTTACTACAAAGTTGCTCTGACTAACTGAAACAGCATTCACTCCCCTCACGTACAATAAATCTGAGGAAGGGTCACCGGACCCGAAATGTTAACTTTTTTTTTTCTCACAGATGCTGCCAGACCTGCTGAGCTTTTCCAGCAACTTCTGTTTTTGTTCCAAATTTACAGCGTTTAGAGATTTGATGATGACAAAGTGGATTTTGCTATAAAATGGATTTACAATGAACAACACTGGCCTGGATTGCCCGGGGATTCTAAATGGCCCCTGCCCAGTGACATTACTGCTATGGCATAGAAACACAGAGTACCTATAGTGTGGAAGCAGGCTATTTGGCCCATCGAATCCACACTGACCCTCCAAAGAGCATCCCACCCAGACCCACCCACTGCCCTATCCCTGTAACCCTGTATTTCCCATGGCTAACCCACCTAGCCTGCACACCCCTGGACACTCTGGGGCAATTTAGCACGGCCAATCCACCCGCCAGCTTTGCTGCTAATTTTCTCACCCTGTGGCAGCATCTTCTGGAACCATGCGTGGTCGCACACACGCAGCACTTAATACGACTGCAAGGGAGCATTGCCACTTGCATTCACACAAAACCCTTTGCTGGGACTAACCTTTGAACTGACAGGTAGATGACAATGTGGCAATAATATAAGCTAGAGCCTCAGTCCTAAAGATGTGGATTCAGAACCCAGCCAGTTGGTAATTGGGAGTTCGATTAATAAATCTGAAATCTGGGCTCATGAAACTATCGTCAAATGTTGACCAACAATATTTCATCAACATCAAACTGTCATCAAAAACCCATCTGGTTCACTAGTGTCCTTGAGGGAAGGAAATCTGCCCTCCTTACCTGGTCTGGCCTACATGTGACTCCAGACCCACAGCCAATTGGGCTGACTCTTAATTGCCTGGAGTGAGCGACAGCCAATCACTTTGAGAACATTTGGAGATTAGCCACAAATACTGACCTTGCTGCTGATGGCCACGTCCCATGAAAGAGCAATTTTAAAAAGAAATTGGGATTTGCAATGCATCCCTTCCGAGGGCTAACCCGGGCACACCTGTACTGCTAGGCTTTATGATCCTGTGACTTTTTTTTAAAATTGCTTTTTCAGGTTATCAAGAGGAAATCTCCTGTTGTCTATTTTCCGAAGATTCACAACTCAAGGCGCCAAAAGAGAGAATGGATCATTCCACCAGTCTCTGTGAGGGAACATGAGCCACCAGAGCACAATCCAATCGCTATTGTAAGTGATGTCGAATCATTCACCACTCAATATTTAATTAGGAACTGCGTGTCGGAGCATGACCCCCACTCTAACTCCTTTCAAAACCCACCCGCCAGCACGTTGTTAAAATCAGGTCCATTATTTACAAAAAATAATGCATTGGAACCTCTCCGGAACTCCTCAAAATGTTGGGGTAATATTGCAACATCGGGTAAAATGTACAGAGAAAAGCTTTGAGAAGCTAACGTTGTCGCTGATAACAACTGAGGACCCCAGGTTAATGTTCTGGGGAAAGGGTTCAAGTCCCACCATAGCAGGTGGTGAAATTTGAACACGATACAAAGTTTGAGCTTCCCCCCTTAGAGGGGAGATAACAGCCTACTGGTGTTATCACTGGACTGTCAATCCAGAGACTGGAGAAATGGTCTGAGGACCTGGGTTTGAATCCTGCCATGGCAGACGGTGGAATTCGAATTCAATAAAAATCTGGAATTAAGAGTCTAAATTATGACTATGCTGATTATAGGGAAAACCCATCTGGTTTGCAAATGTCCTTTAGGGAAGGAAAATGCCATCCTTACCTTGTCTGGCCTACGTGTGACTCCAGACCCACAGCAATGGGGTTGACTGTGAACTGCCCTCTGGGCAATTAGGGATGGGCAATAAATACCGGCTCAGCTCAGCTCATTTTCCATGAACGAATCTTAAAGAAATCCCATTCCTTGAATTTGTGAGCCGATTGGAGGGACAGTTCAGTCCACTTACACATTGTTAAAAATTAAAAAAATTCCTCGTGGGATCGGTGAATTTGCTACACCAAGAGAAACACTCTGACCTTACCAATGGAGACAATTCTTCACCAGCCCCTTCAAATGCTAACCCACGAAGCCCATTATCCTGTGAACGATTATAAAAAAATTGATCTGGTTAACTCATGAAACCAAGAAAAGGGGTTGCAATGGATTAATAAAAAAGGTATCAAACAGAAATGAATCTCTGTCAAGATGTTAGACGCCCCACACTCTCTGGGACTTTGTGCCAGTCTCTTTCAAAGCTGCTACCTGCTCTGACCTTCAATGCCCACATCCCCTCACCTTCTATGTCCCCTTAAACCACCGCGCCAAGTAGCCCCTTGGCTACTGATCCTGCATCTACCACTGGCAATTGTCTGGAAGCTCATGTGGGCAGGGTATTGAAGTGCGTGGATGCACCATGACTCCATGTCATGTAAACACTGGGCTTTTCAGTAACGTCTCCCTAGTGTCAGGTTAAAGTGATCCAGCACCACAATTTAGGAAGGATGTTAAAGGTCATAGGGTGGAACGTCTCTGAACCTCAACTACTGAGTTTGGGTCCCTTTCTGGGAATCTGTCACCAAGGAAGGTGCATCATAAATTGGTCAGATGGGTTGAGAATCAATCTGCAAATCCTTCCAGCCCGCACCAGTGGCAGGTGGTAAGAACAGGAGAGATTCCTATGATAGGAAGAAATAGCAGTCTCTACCATTGCTATCCAGTCTACGGCACTTTTGTAAAAGTGTCATGGCAGCTCAGATTCCTGGACCAAATTTCCCAAGGCTAAGGATTAGAGGTTACCAGAGGGCATGAGGTCTGAGAGCCTTCAGTCAGATGGAGAATCTGAGCAAATGTTAAGGGGATGTTGGACAGAGTTTCAAAATCAGAAAGTGGTTTGATAGAACAGACCAGGAGGAACCATTCCCACTGCCAGGGAGGGTGGTCAACCAGAGGGCACAGATTGAAGATAATTGGCAAAAAAAAAAGTCCTGAAGCCAGCTGAGGGCAGTACTTTAAGAGGTAGGCTTTGGGATCTGGAATGTGCTGTTTGAAAAGACAGAGGAAGCAGTCGACAGTAAAATTCAGGGAGGTTGTGGGCAGTCCAGAAATGCGGGCCAATGTTTGGGAGGAGATGGATTCAAATTCTACCAAGGCAGGTGGCGACATTTAAGTCCAATAAAATCTGGAATAAAGAGCTGCCTTAATGATGACCATGAAACCACTGTTAATTGTCATAAAAACCCATCTTAGTTCATTTAATGCCCTTTAGAGAAGGAAACTGCCATCCTTACCCAGTCTGGCCAAAGTTTGACTCCAGAGCCACGGCAACGGGGTGGACTCTTAACTGCCCTCTGTTTGTTCTAGCAAGTCACTCAGTTCGAGGGCAGTTAGGAATGGGCAACAAATACTAACCCCGCCAGTAGTGATCACATCCCATGAATCAAGGAAAAAATAAATTGCATGTTGTAAATAAGATAGTTGATGCAGTTTGTCTGTTGGAGAATGAATACTGTTTGCAAATATTAAATCTCCTTTGCAATTTCTTCCCTCAGATCAGGTCAGATTTGGAAATAATTGATAAAATCCACTATACTATTTCTGGCCATGGTGCCGATCTTCCACCTGTCAATTTGTTTGTGATTGATCGCAATACCGGAGAACTAAACATTACAGGAATGGTGGACCGCGAGATAAATCCTTCCTTTGTTGTAAGTTATCATTCATTCGTTGTCAATTTCTGAGGGATGACGCTGATAATTCTAATCTTATTTAAACACGTGCCTCTGTTAAACATAGAACAGTACAGCACAGTACAGGCCCTTCGGCCCGCGATGTTGAGCCGACCTATTATCCTACTAAGGTCAAACTACCCTGCATACCCTACATTTTACTATCCTCCATGTGCCTTTCCAAGAGTGGTTTAAAAGTCTGTAAAGTATCTGACTCCACTACCACTGCTGGCAGCGCATTCCACACGCCCACCACTCTCTGTGTGATGAACCTACCTCTGACATCTCCCCTATACCTTCCTCCAATCACCTTAAAATTATGCCCCCTCCTAATAGTCATTTCCACCCTGGGAAAAAGTCTCTGACTATCCACTCTATCTATGCCTCTCACCATCTTGTAAACCTCTATCAAGTCACCTCTCATCCTTCTTCACGCCAATGGAGAAAGCCCTAGCTGCTTCAACCTTTCCTTATAAGACCTGCCCTCCAGTCCAGGCAGCACCCTGGTAAATCTCCTCTGCACACTCTCTAAAGCTTCCACATCTTTCATATAATGAGGTGACCAGAACTGAACACAATATTGCAAGTGTGGTCTAACCAGAGTTTTATAGAGCTGCAGCATAACCTCACGGCTCTTAAACTCAATTCCCCCGCCAATGAAAGCCAACACACCATACGCCTTTGTAACAACCCTATCAACTTGGGTAGCAACTTTGAGGGGTCTATGGACGTGGACCCAAGATCCCTCTGTTCCTCCACACTGCCAAGAATCCTGCCATTAACCCTGTATTCTGCATTCAAATTTGACCTTCCAAAATGAATCACTTCACACTTTTCTGGGTTGAATTCCATCTGCCACTTCTTTGCCTAGCTCTGCATCCTGCCAATGTCCCATTGCAACCTACAACAGCCCTCCACAGTATCCATAACTCCACCAACCTTTGTGTCATCGGCAAACTTACTAACCCACACTTCCACTTCCTCATCCAAGTCATTTAAAAAGATCACAAAGAGTAGAGGTCCCAGAACAGATCCCTGTGGAACACCACTGGTCACTGAGCTCCAGGCTGAATACTTTCCATCTACTACCACCCTCTGTCTTCTATTGGACAGCTAGTTTTGTATCCAGATAGCCAGATTTCCCTGAATCCCATGCCTCCCAGATCATTTGCACTCATAGAGTGGTGAAGTATATAGGCACAAATCTCATTTGAGACAGAGCTGTCTCACAGTGTCCAAGCCCTATTTAGATTCATTGGCACGTGGATGTACAAAGGCACTTTGAGTTGGTTATAGAAACACAGAGTACCTACAGTGTGGAAGCAGGCCATTTGGCCCATCAAATCCACACCGACCCTCCAAAGAGCATCCCACGTAGACCCACCCGCTACCCTATCCCTGTAACCCTGTATTTCCCACAGCTAACCCACCTAGCCTGCACACCCCTGGACACTATGGGTAATTTAGCATGGCCAATCCACCCAACATTCACATGGAAACCAGAGCACCTGGAGGAAACCCACACTGACCATGTGCAAATTGCACACAGACGGTCGCCCAAGGCTGGTTGATCGAGCCAAAGTCTTTTTCTTGGGGTAGGGGAGTCCAAAACTAGAGGGATTAGGTTTAAGGTGAGAGGGGAAAGATATAAAAGGGACCCAAGGGGCAACTTTTTCACACAAATATGGAACAAGCTGCCAGAGGAAGTGGTGGAGGCTGGTACAATTACACCATTTAAAAGGCATCAGGATGGGTATATAAATAGGAAGGGTTCAGAGGGATACGGGCCAAACGCTGGTAAATGGGACTATATTAATTTAGGATTTAGGTATGGCCGAGGTGGACCGAAGGGACTGTTTCCGTGCTGTACATCTATTTGACTGTGACTCTTTAACTCACTCTCTTATAGAAGGTTACTGAATCTTTTCACGTGTGTTTTAGCTAACAGGTAAAGCTATAAGTACCATCGGTAGTGAAGTTGAGAAACAATTGTCACTTGTTGTTGAGGTTCTGGACATCAATGATAATGCCCCAGTGTTCACAGAACAAGTCTTTGAAGGAGCGGTTGAAGAATTGTCTCCAGTTGGTAAGGATGTAACGTTTTGTTTTCTTGGCATTAATATGATTGCAAATTCAGACCCATGACGCACCAGCAACTGGGCTGCCCATGATGAGTTCTCCTGTTCGTCAGCCAAGGAATACCCTCCGCACCCTCCCCCAACCTCCCCCAGCCACCCCACCCCACCTTCTACCACCATGATTGACGTGGCCTTCAGCTATGTCTGACGCATCTCCCAAAATACTGCCCTGACCCCCTCCCAGAATCCTCAACACCTGTTCCACTCGCACCTCCTTGCCATCCGTTAAAAGTCTTAAAAACACCATTTTCCAATCCTCGTCAGCTCTGCAGAAGAGCCACATTGGACTCAAAACATGAACTCTGTCTCTCTCTTTCTCTCTCTCTCTCTGTCTCCACAGATGCTGCCAGCCCTGCAGAGTTTCCCCAGCAGTTCCTGTTCTTATTTCAATGTCTGATGTTGCTCCTGAATGACATATGGGATGTTTTAATATTAGTAGGGGTTATATAAATGCATGTTGTTGTTTTCCATTTCCCAAAGTGTTTTGGATGCATTTAGCCACACAGAAACTTGGGACAAATTGTTTTATCTCCCTAATGTTCAGCCTAAGAGAACACTGACTGTTCCTAATTTGTGTTTATTCCAGGAACCTTAGTGTTAAGACTAAATGCAACAGATGCTGATATTGGCGAAAATGCACAAATTGCCTATAGAATTCTGTCACAGGGAGCCAATGAAATGTTTCTTGCAAAGTCCAATGGAGAAATCAGAACAATGGCAAATACCTTAGACAGAGAGGTTGGTGTTGGTAATTTCTTTTCTAAAGTATTTTGTATGTCAAATGACTAAATGTGCATTTTCGAAATCAATTTGTGTATGATGTTTTTTCCCCACTATGTGTGATTAACGTTCCACCCCCACTGCTAAAATAATTCACCCGATCACGCACCAATAAGGACTGATATAGAAACATCAAAAATTAGAACAGGAGTAGTCCATTCTGCCTTTCGAGCCTTCTCTCCCATTCATTGTGATCATGGCTGATCATCCAACTCAGCCCCCTGTTCCCTGTTTCTCCCCCAGACCCTTTGATCCCTTCAGCCCTGTATCTAACTCCTTCTTGAAAACATTCAATGTTTTGGCCTCGGCTGCTTTCTGTGGCAGAGAAGTCCACAGGCTTCCCACTCTCTGGGTGAAGACATTTCTCTTCATCTCAGCCTAAATGGTCCACCCTGTATCCTTAGTGTGTGACCCCAGGTTCTGGAGTCCTCCCTTGGCCATCGGTAAAATCTTTCCTGAGTTTGCCGTGTCACGTCCTGTTGGAATTCTGTCGGTTTCTATGACACTTCCCCCAACCCCACTCCTGGCCATTCTTCAAAACCGCAGTGAATACAGTCATGACCATTCCAGTTCCTCTCCATATATCAGACCTCCGTCCCAGGAATCAGACTGGTAAACCTTCCTCACCTTCCCTCCATCGCCAGAACATCCTCCCTCAGATAAAGGAGGCGAAAACCAGACGCAATACTCCAGGTATGGTCACACCAAGGCCCTGTACAATTGCAGCAAGGCCCTTGGCCCTTGAACCTTGATTTGGTTCTTGGGTCCTCTCACCACAAAGGCCAACATACCGCTTGCCTTCTTCACTGTCTGCTGAACCGACTCGCGTATTTTCACAGGGGATGGGCAAGACTCTAGACCCACCACAGGTCCCAACATCCTGGGACGCTGGAAGCTACCGGCCAATAAGTGGCCAGCAGCTCTGGGTCCTAAAGACCACCAGTCAAGGCCTAGTCCTCATCTGATCCAGGAGCGAGGCATTTTATTCCATGGGGATGGCAGGGAAAAGGGGCGGGGGGCCGCAGGGCCCAAGGATTCGGAGACGAGTGGATTTCAAGGCCATTCCTTTCACCCGGCTCATGGCCCATGCCTCTGAAGGCACCTCGCTGGACCCCTCCCACTCCAGTACGGCTGGCTACTCTGCTTTCCCATTGTAGAGCCATTTTTCTTACACACTGAGAGTAGAGGTGAATGGGAAGGTGGCAAGTTGAGGTCCTTAAGTGGCCATTGGTTGACGCCTCAAGGGTCTGATTTGGCAGTGAGTCGGAAGAGTCCCTAGCGGACCTCCCCGTACAGATTCTAATGGCTAACCTAACAAGAAGAGGAAATAATGAGGTGAGTCAACCCTGGGGAGATCATTGTTCCCATCTCACCACTTCCAGGGAGGGAAATGGAGTACTCCCCACTTACCTGGATGGGTACAGCTCCAACAACACTCAAGAAGCTTGACACCATCCAGGACAGTAGCTCAGTGGTTAGCACTGCTGCCTCACAGCGCCAGGGACCCGGGTTCAATTCCACCCTCAGGCGACTGTCTGTGTAGAGTTTGCACATTCTCCCCCCGCATTGTCTGCGTGGGTTTCGTCCGGGTGCTCTGGTTTCCTGGTGGATTGGCCATGCTAAATTGCCCATTGTGTCCAGGGATGTTCAAATTAGTTGGGTTAGAGATGGGAAACACAGGGGTAGGGGAATGGGTCTGGGTGTGATGCTCTTGGGACGGGCACTGTAAACTTGTTGGGCCGAATGGCCTGCCCCCACACTGTAGGGGTTCTGTGACAAAGCAGCCCGCTTGATTGGCACTACATCCACAAGCATCCACTCCCTCCACCACTGATGCTCAGTAGCAGCAGTGTGTACCATTTACAAGGTGCACTGCAGAAATTCACCAAAGATCTTTCGATAACACACAACCACTTCCATCCTGAAGGACAAGGGCAGCAGATACATTGGGACACTTCCAACTCCCAAGTTAACCCTCAAGCCACTCACCATCCTGACTTGGAAATATATTCTTCACTGTCAAAGTGTCAAAAGTTATAGTAACTCCTTTCCTAACAGCACTGGGGATGTATTTACAGCCCAAGGATTGCGTCAGTGCAATATGGTAGCTAGCTCACCACGGGAATATAGAATCATAGAACCCCTTTGGCCCACTACCTTCTCCAGGGCTCTTAGGAATGGGCAATAATTGGTTGGTAATACCCATATCTCCTGGGTGATTCAAGGTAAACTTGATAAGTCTTCACGCTTGTACAACTACACCAGGCATGCTGATGGGACACAGCCTCGTACCGCACATGGTAAGGCACCCATATGTTGTCCAATTTACCAACAAACATGAGAACGTGGGACAAGGAGTTGGCAGTTAATCAACTCCCTCTAGTGGTTGCCAGCTTCTCTCCTGGAGCGGTCACTACATGAGCTATGCATCTCGAACCATCCTGCCGTACCATTGGCTGACTGTCACCTCCAACCTCGTGTTCTGCCTGCCTTTCCACAGCCAATCAGAATGACTCGAGACATAACTAATTGACGCATAACTAATTGGATGATACTCTGATAATGACTCGCTCCCTCCCCAAAAACAAATATATTTAGAATTTATGAACAAATGTGTTCAGGGAGCTTTGGGTTCAAGAATATTTTCTTGGAATACACCCGCTACCGGGTGTCCTTGGAGGTTGATGATGACACCATCCTCCCACCCACTTTCCCTGAATTGAGGCTTATCCCCTCCCCACACCCCACCCCACCGACCTCAGCATCGCCCAGGAGAACCGCAGGAATATCGTGGTGGGGCCCTAGAGGGAGAGACGCTAAGGAGATCAAGGAGGAGGCAGAAGAATGGGATTGAGAAATATTTCAGCCACAGTCAAATGGCAGAGCAGACTCAATGGGCCAAATGGACTAATCCTGCTCCTACATCTTAATGGAGAGGAGCAGAAAATTATATAGCTCTCAGCCTTACTTTCCCCCTCCCCTCCCCTTACCTATCCTGAAGGGACTCTGATTGCCCAGCAAGCATAAATGGGCAATAGAGCTGGTGGAGACACAATGGGCCGAATGGCCTCCTTCTGTTCACATCATGTTGAGGAGCAAGAATGAAAGCGACTAGGGTGTTTTGGGAAATAAATGTTATAACTTGGTCATTTGGATATCTTTTCTTGTTCTCTTCCTGTGTCAGACTCAGGATCTGTACACCTTAACAGTGGAAGGCCGTGATTTAAACGGAAAGATATCGGGATTGTCCTCCACAGCCAACACTCAGATCAGAATCTTGGATGTTAATGACAACATTCCAACACCGGAAAAGGAGGAGGTAGACTTAATTCTGATAAATAATGTAATCAAGCTGTACAAACATCTGCACCATTGTTACCGTCGACCAATTACTAAAGGGGGGGCTGAAATATGAGAGTATTGATTACTTTTCACTCGCTCTCTATTACTGGGAAATTTCTTGTGGAACACAGTCTTCACTGTGAAAGCCAAGATTTATTGTCCTAATGACTCTCGACCTGTCTCTCCTGCTTGTTCTTGGCCATTTTAGAGGGCAGTTAAGAGTCAACGCCATCGCTGAGGATCTAGATTCATGTGTAGACCAGGTTGAGTAAGGATGGTAGATTTCCTTCCCTGAATGGTGTTTGTTAGTAAGATGGGTTTTTGCAACAACCAATGGTGGCCTCATTGTCACTGTCTCTGGCCAGTGTTTTTAAATTTCCTGATTTTGTGAATTTGATGAAGATGAATGATGGGGAGGGTCGATGAGTGAGGTGTGATGGGCAGTATTAGCAGTACTGGGCCTTCTTTGATTTACATGAGGCACATGCAGTTTAATGTAGAGACGCGTGACATGAAAGCGTCTGGTCATAAGATCAAGGAGAGGCAATAGAAACCAAATGATCCAATTTTAGAGAAGTGTGGCTTCAGAGAGACCTGAAGGCTTTAAAGGAGTTTGGCTTTTTAAACAGAGGCATGGGGTCCAAAGAGCAAGGAAGTGATGTTGGAGTCACTGATGATGTCATAGTTGGTGCTACTGACCTGATTTTTGGCCAAGATGAATTGAGTCTTTTAAAATACTTTTAAAACCTTTTAAAATAGCAAATGAGTCCCGATTCTGAGTTTCCCAGCTCTATTTCCCATGCTTTCAATTTTCACCAAGTCTCGTTAAGAGTTACAGACTGGTCTGGTCACAAGGCCACACCCAGCATTCTCACTCTTGTCATCTCCACTGCATAGTCTGTCCCTGCACAATTTTTATGGAGTCAGGCCAGATTCTTAAAGAATCATCTTTCACTATCAGAAATCACACGACACCAAGTTATAGTCCAAAAGCTTGTGTTTTCAAATAAACCTGTTGGACTATAACCTGGTGTCGTGTGATTTCTGACCTTGTCCACCCCAGTCTAACACCGGCACCTCCACACCACGTTTCACTGAATCCTGGAGGTGTTGTGAAATAGTGTCTGGCTGAGGGAGCCTTTGGAGAGGTAAGTTCATTTGGCCGTCTTCATGCTCCCCCACTTCCAAACCAGGCTTTAGCACTGAGAAAGTTCTAAGGAAGGGTCACTGGACCCGAAACATTAACTCTGATTTCTTTCCACAGATGCTGCCAGACCTGCTGAGCTTTTCCAGCAATTTCTGTTTTTGTTTCTGATTTGCAGCATCCACGTATCTTTTGGTTTTTATTTATCACTTGCATGTCCATTTACCCACTATTTACTGTATAGAAACAATGAACCCTATAGGAATGGATGTGTAAAAGAAATCATTTTGAAAAGTCATTCATTGATCATTTTCCACTGTTTAAAAAGAATCTCCTTTTCACTACAGCTCAATAGAAGTGTCAATCAAACAGATTTTGAAAATCTCCATCCTTGAAACTAAGGGCTGTTGAAACTTCTTAACTTAGTGTAAAAGAAATTCCACTATATTATAATATTAAACTATATAAATAATATTTGCATTAATATTGACCACAGAGATCAATCAAGCAGGGGCTCAGGTGTTTGAAGAAACAAATGGATGTTTGGGTCTCAGCCAAAGCTGTTAAACAAAATTTCTTCCTCACATCCTCTCTGTACCTCTCACCCAAAATCTTAAATGTATGTTCCCTGCTCTTGTACTATCAGCTAGTGATAACCACCATGAGATTGGAATGAAATGTCCCTTTTCGCTCTTGTCCTCAGTATGAAGTCTCTGTGGAAGAAAATTCACTGAACGATGAGGTCACCCGCATCAAAGTATTTGACAATGACCAAGAATTCACCGACAACTGGCTGGGGCACTTTGATATTATCGAAGGGAATGAAGGAGGACACTTTAGGTTCGAAGTTGATGAACAAACAAATGAAGGAATCTTGGTGCTTCAAAAGGTAACGTTGAAAATCAAGTAAAATCTGTGATAGCATGTGGGCAGAGGAGAACACTGAAGTTTTGGCAACTTTTTAAACTACTAAGACTGCTTAAAATTTTGCAACATGTAATTTGAGACAAAGGGTAAGGATTTTGGTGGAAAAAGATCATAGAAAATTTGATGGCACTGTTAATGATCCACATAATGTGAAGGTACCAGTGTTGGACTGGGATGAACAAGGTCAGAAGTCACACGACACCAGGTTATAATCCAACAGGTTTATCCCACATTGGCTCTGGTTACCATGAAGGACTCTCCTTCTCAACCTCTCCCCTCGCCTGAGGCATGGCGACCCTCAGGGTAAACCACCACCAGTCCTCTCCTCTCTAATGAGACAGCAGCATCCCATGATTCATTAGGACTATGGGGGAATCATTAGTCATTGTAGGAGCTTGGGATAGGGAGAAAGATGCCAGTAAATTGTAAATAACTCCTCTCTTACTCTCAAGGAAAAGGAAGCTTGCCCTCAAATTCCCTGTGAATCTCTGAAAATCACTTTAGTTACATATTTCATTACCGGTTATATTCACTGCAGCATGTAAGGGCTGGTACTTAATGACATAAGGTCCGTAAGAAGTCTGTACGCCTGCAGTACCATGGAAAGGTTAGAACCACATAGTCAGCAGTAAACCAAGAGATTTTTAAAGATGTAAAAATGTTATCGATTTCCTACTTCTCATGCTGTCTCTCGTTCATTCCCTCTGTCTCGCCCAATTCAATCTTTGTCTCCCTTTTTCAGATCTCTCTTTCCAGACTGAATTTGATGCTAAGTAACCTGGTTTCCTTTTCCTGTTACTTTCTCAACCTTTAGATGTAATTATGTAAACAGCTGCATTCTTGATCACCAAGGTCCCAGATGCCCTGTTACTTGGGCAGGTTCCTGGCCAAAGTGACTGTTTACCATATCAACCGTCTGATCTTGTACAATACACGTAAATCCTCATATTGGATGGAGAGGTCATTTGTCTTATCCGAGCTGATCCCTCTTATTCTATCCCAAGGCCATAAGAGCAGAAGTAGGACATTCAGCCCATCATGTAACATTCTAAACCAGTACAACCACGAGGCTAAATAATATTAAGATACAGTGTGCGTTTTTCTTGTCTATGACATTTTATAGTTTGAAATGTTCGAAAGCATTTTCCTAAACTGTTTGTCTAAATAGGAGAGTCTCAGCTGTATCAATTCTTCCTCCTAAGTCATCGCCTTTTCACATCAAAGTCTTTCGCATCTCAATGTAGTGAGATATCCTCATGACAGTAAATTGCGTTGATATATTGATATACTGTAAAAATCCTTTGTAAATTGTGTTTGGCTGATAGGTGCCACTTTCCTCACTTTCTGATTGCTGCTACAGTGACAACTAGTCTTTTATTTTAATTCATTCACGGGATGAGGGCGTCACTGGCCAGGCCAGCATTTATTGCCCATCCCTAATTGCCCAGAGGGCAGTTAAGGGTCAGCCACATTGCTGTGGGTCTAGAGTCATATGTAGGCCAGACCAGGTAAGGATGGTAGTTTCCTTCCCTAAAGGACATTAGTGAACCAGATGGCTTTTTCCAACAATGGATTCATGGTCACCATTGGCCTCTTAACTCCAGATATTTATTGAAATCAAGTTCCATCATCTGATTGATGGATTGTCCCATGTACCGAAGTACAGTGAAAAGCTTTGTTTATGAGCAGTAGAGGCAGATCATAGTGAGCAAGAATGTGCAGATCAAAACGATTAACGGTCCAGCGATAATACCACTACACCGTTGCCTCCCCCTTGGTCTAAAGAGGCATGTGTTTGCTCTATTATTCTATCTGAATATAGAAACATCACTTCACCTGACAAAGGAGCAGTGCTGCAAAAGCTTGGGATTTTAAATAAACCTGTTGGACTATAACCTGATTAAAAACCGAAAGAACTGCGGATGCTGTAAATCAGGAACAAAAACAAAGTTGCTGGAAAAGCTCAGCAGGTCTGGCAGCATCTGTGGAGGAGAAAACAGAGTTAACGTTTCAGGTCCGGTGACCCTTCCTCAGAACTTCCTCAGGACTATAACCTGATGTTGTGTGACTCTGATTTTATAGAAACATTGCAAGAGGAGGAGGTCCTATAGCCCCCAGTTCAGTTCTGCCACTCAGTGAGATTATGGCTCCATTTCTCTGAGTTCAAATACCTTTGTAATTATTTTCCCTTGTTGGACTAATGAGCCCATGAATAGTTCTGCTTTTATAGTTCTGTAGCCCCACAACCCTCGGAGTTAGCCTGCATTCGTCCATTTCTGTCCTCTAGCACATCTGTAGTTTTAATGGATCCACCTCAGATGCCCATCTGTCTCTCAGTAGCCTCAGTCCTAAAGAAATGCCCCCCTCCCCCATATCCGCCTTCAAACCCACCTCTTCGAGTAAGATTTGTCCTTCGTATTTTTTTGTGATTCAGCGGTGAGTGTTTTTGGATAATCAATCTTGTGAATTATCTTGGGACACTGTGCCACATTAAGGGCACTAGCAGTCTGTTGCTCCTGTGCATTTTTTATTTTGTACGAGTTGAACATAATTTTAATTTATTTATCTTAGCAGTTGTAATTCAGTCCCCTTTATGCTGTATGTTTGCAGTGCACAGGGAATGATGTTTTATTCATGTGATCTTTCAAAGGCTCCATTTCTAATGCTATTGCTTTTCAAACCTATTGTCAGTAACTTTCACTGCTGAGCTTCGAACTGTTTTCAGGTTTCAGGACCTTTATAAGAACAAGGGACAAATGTTTCATTTGAAACTTTTGCTAAAAGCTTCCTGAATTTCTAAATGCTAAAATAAAACAGGGAGTTCCACTGGATACCCAACTTGAGGAAGGATTAATTCACTTATTTATTTTTCCTTACTTTTTCATGGAGATATGGATATTTGTTGCCTGTCCCTAATTATCCCTGAATCGAGTGTCTTGCTAGGACCTCCTTTAGAGGGCAGTCATGAGTCAACCACATTGCTGCAGGCCTGGAGTCACATGTAGGCCAAACCTGATAAGGGCAGCACATTTCCTTCCCTAAGAATCCTAGACTAAGTGTGGAATAGAGTTATACCGGGACTCCAAGGGTTACATTGCAAGGAGAGGATACACAAACAAGTGTTGCATTCTTCAGAAACTATTAAGCTGGAGAGGGTTCAGAAGAGATTTACCAGGATGTTGCCGGGTATGGAAGGTTTGAGTTATAAGGAAAGGCTGGATAGGCTAGGACTTTTCTCACCAGAGTGTAGGAGGTTGAAAGGTGATCTTATCGACATTTATAAAATTATGAGGGGTGTAGATAGGGTTAATGGTAGGTGTCTTTTCCTTAGGATGGGGAATTTCAAGTCTGGAGGCACATTTTTAAGATGAGAGGAGAAAGATTTAAAACAGACATGAGAGGCAAATTTTTCGGAGAGTGGTTAGTGTGTGGAATGAACATCCTGAGGAAGTGGTAGATGTGGGCACAGTTACAACATTTAAAAGACGTTCAAATAAGTACGTGAACAAGAAATGTTTGGGATTATGTTCGGTATGGACTGGTTGGACCGAGGGATCTGTTTCCGTGCTCTATGACTGTATGTCTCTGTCTGCTTGAGGTGTTTAAGAGGAGGTAACTAGAGAGAAAGGAGAGAAAATTGGTTGGGTAGTCCAGAATGTGTGAATGTAGTTTAAACATTAGGGTCAGTCTTTCTTTTAGGGGTGAACGTAGGGTTAGGGTTAGGGCCAGGGTCAGAATTTTAATTCTGAGATTGAGAGTTATTACTCAAAAGTACTGAAAGATATGGGGCAAAGTGGGGTTTATGGAATTAGGCACAGTGGCTCAGCCATGGTTCTATTGAGTGCTGGAATGGCTGCAAGGGCTGAGCTGGGGGAGGCAGTAGCTCAGAACATTAATCCAGAGACCAAGGTAATCTGGTCTTGGGACCTGGGTTCGAATTGCGAACTTAGAATCGTAGAGTCATACAGCACGGAAACAGACCCTTCGATCCAACCAGTCCATGCCAACCATAGTCTTAAACTAAACTAGTCCCACCCGCCTGCTCCTGGCCCATAGCCCTTGTAACGTCTTTCATCTGATTTAGAATTTCAACTAGAGAGATTTTCGCAGGTGGGTTTCATATGGTTGCTCTGCATCTCTCAGCATTTGACAGCTTATTCCCATTGTCCTTACCCACCCTCCCTTTGCAGGAACTGGATTACGAAAAATCACAAACCAGGAATTTGGTACTTCGAGTTTCCAACAAAGCAGCCTATCACTCATCAGTTACTGGAGGAGGAGGAGGAGGAGGAGGTGGAGGAGGAGGTGGAGGAGGAGGAGCAGTAGTTGTGGGTAATCCAATCAGAATCAAAGTCAATGTGAAGGACAAGAAAGAAGGCTTTTTGTTTAAACCAACAAAGAAGCGACTCACTGTTTCTGAGGATCGAAGAAAAGTTACAATTGGCCAATCATTTGGAAAATATCCAGCCATTAGTGCTGACACTGGGAAAGAAAGTGAACGCACCAGGTAAATGGAAGGGTGTGGATAGTGTGTGTATGTGTTGTCATTCATTCACGGGATGAGGACGTCGCTGACCAGGCAGCATTTATTGCCCATCCCTAATTGCCCAGAGGGCGGTTAAGAGTCAACCACATTGCTGTGGTCTGGAGTCACATGTAGTCCAGACCTGATAAGGATGGCAGTTTCCTTCCCTAAAGGACATTAGTGAACCAGATGGGTTTTTCCCGACAGTCAACATGAGTTTCATGGCCTTTATGAGATTCTTAATTCTAAGTTTTGTTTTTAAATGAATTCAAATTCCACCATCTTCCATGGCAGGATTTGAACATGAGTTCCTAGATCAATACTGGAGTCTCTGGGTCAATAATTTAGTGACAATACCACTAGGCCATTGCCTCCCTGTGTGTGTGTGTGTGTCAGGTATGTTTGTATGTGTGTAAACCTGTGTGTGTTTTTCTGCGTGTCTGTTAGTTGTGTGTGTCTGTGTGTGTGTGCGTACCCTCTGATGTGTGTCTGTGTGTGTGTGTGTCTGTGTGTGTGTGCGTACCCTCTGATGTGTGTGTGTCTGTGTGTGTGCAAGTGGGTATGTATCAATGTCTACAAATGCTAACACACACTGCTTTTTTTTTTTCGGACAGATACGCAAAGAATTCTGATCCAGCAAACTTCTTCAACATTAACCCTGAAACCGGGGAGATAACGCTAAACAAATTGCCTGATCGCGAGTCGCCATATGTTGTTGATGGGAAATACACAGCGACTATCCTGGCAATCGATAATGAAGGTGAGTAGGCAGTTGGAGAGGGACTGACTTCCTGAACACAGCGTTCAGTTTTATTGAGAAGAAAGATAGAAAATCTTTTTTCATTGGAAGATGGAAGGTTTTTTTCTGCTTGAGAAGTGCAAATAGAAACTCAGAGCAGGAGCAGCCCGTTCGGCCCTTCAAATCAGTTCCGCCATTCAATATGATCATGGCTGATCCTCTGTCTCAAAGCCATATTCTTGTTTTCTCCCCATATGCCTCGATGCCTTTACTATCTAAGAATTATTGATCTCTTTCTTGAATATATTTAGGGTTCTGTGTTAGAAAATTCCACAGGTTCACTCCCTTTGAGTGCAAACTTGTTTGTTCATCTCAATCCTAAAAGAGTGACCTGTTATTTTTAGAGTGCTGCTCGTGGATCACGAGGACCCCATTCTCTCCCATCCCCCCGAACCCCTCACACAAACCTTCTGCCAATCTCAGAGACTCTTCGCTTCCATGATCAGCCAAACCCCTTAATCCCAAGACACCACCTTCTCTCCAAACTTCCAGACCCCTTCCTGCCAACATGATAATCGCCCAATCCATCCTTGCTAACTGACCCTCCCAGCTATCCCTGAAAACTTTGAAGCCGCTAATCGTCTTTCTCTCCATGGTTGTTCGATATTGTTCGATGTTGATGGCCATAATTTCAGATTTTCTGGTGTCGGCGGTGTATTTCATTTGCTTTCTGCTCTTCGATAAAGAGGTTTTCCTTTCTCTCTCTCTCTCTCTCTCTCTCTCTATCTCTCTCTTTCACAGGACCTGTTCCTAAAACAGCCACGGGTACCGTTGTCCTTGACGTGGATGATGACAATGACAATATTCCCCTCATTCGCAATCTCCAGCCTTGTATGTGTGAACAAGCAAAGTCCCTGCTTGTCACGGCTCACGATGCAGACTCTTATCCAAATGCAGCTCCGTATCATTTCAAACTCGTGGATAAACCAGGCATCACAGACAAGTGGAAGATTTTAATGAAAAACGGTAAGATCGGGTAACGAGGTAACATTTTGGAGAAGAAGGATGATTGACAGAAAATTACGTTGAATTTCCAGCAAAGAAACAGGCCATTCAGCCTATCTGGTATATCCTGGTGTTTATATGCTTCGCATCAGCTCCCTCTTACTCCCTCTCAGTTTCGTCTACTTTTCCCCAACACCCATCTCAACTAATCCACATTCACTCTGTGTAGAGAAGTCTTCCCTGATTTCCCTTGCACAGCATGTGATGGGGAAATCCAAGTCCCATGACCGTTTGTCAGAATGGAGTTGTTGCTTTCCCTGTTGGATTTATTTGTGTCCTTGGGACTTAGTGCTATCCCACAATTGGAAACATCTTCTTTACATCTGTCCTCTCAAGGCCTCGCCGTTATTTTGAAGACTTCCATAAGGGACTGCTCCGACTTCCAATGGCTGGAGAAATCGGCCTTGAACCTCTCAAACTTGCCTGGTAGTTGACCTTCCTCAAACCTGCAAGGTCGCCATTCCAATCTCTCAGTTTCGCCACTTCCCTCAAGTCTGTTCTGATGATGCTACCTTCCATTGGGAAGCCTCCAACATGGCCTCTTCCTTTCCAGTCCAACCCATTTCCCGCACTCACCCTCTACCCGACTCTCGCTGAATAACAAGAGATTCCCCGTCATCTTCCCCTTCCATCCCACTAGCTTCCACATTCAAAGGATCATCATCTGCCATTTCTGCCACTTCTGGCAGGATACCATTCGCTGAACATATCCTCCCTCCCCCAGCGTCTGACAGGGAGTGTTCCGGGTCCACTCCTCCATCACTGCTAACATTTACTCCCCCATGGCACCTTTACGTGCAATCACAGAGGGTATAATACTTATCCATTCATCGTCTCCCTCCTCGCTGCCCAAGGCCCCAAACACAGCTTCAATGCTTTGTATTTCTTTCAATCAAGTCTATTGTATTGGCCTGCTGACAATGCTGTCTCCCTTACATTGACAAGACCAAACACACAGACTGTTTTGAGGAACACCTCTGCTCTATTTGTAGGAAAGACCCTGACCTCCCAGTTGCTATTTTTTCCCCTTTATTCATTCATGGAATGTGGGTGTTGCTGACCAGTTCAGCATTTATTGCCCATTCCTAATTGCCCAGAGGGCAGCTAAGAGTCAACCACATTGCTGTGGGTCTGGAGTCACATGTAGGCCAGACCAGGTAAGGATGGCACTTTCCTTCCCTAAAGGACATTAGTGAACCAGATGGGTTTTTCCAACAATCAACAATGGATTCACAGTCATCATTAGACCCTTAACTCCAGATTATTTTATTGAATTCAAATTCCACCATCTGCCATAGATTTGAACTCAGGTCCCCAGCTGAGTGTCTGGATTAAAAGTCTAGTGATAATACTACGAAGCCATTACCTCCCCTTGCCGTTCAATAAACCACCTTGCCCCCACACTAACCTTTCTGTCCTGAGCCTGCTTAAATCTTCCAGTGAAGCTCAACACAAACTGGAGGTACAACATCTCATTTTCCACTTAGGCACTTCTACAGTCTTCAGGAGTCAATGTCAACTTCAGCAACTTCACAGCATGACCTTTGTTCTCTGTTTTGATGACAGTCCCACGCTTGCCCCATGATATTGCTGGCAACGGCTTGCTGTCAGCAGAGCTGACATGTTTTGGACTATTCACACTCACCATTAACACCTATCTCGCATCTATGTCCCACCTTAACTATCATTAGCATTCCCTCCACCTTTTGCTCAGGACGTCCTCACCCTTTGTTCCACTCACTCCTCATTCCATTTTGTCAATAGCACAAAAACGGTCCTCTTCCTGCTCCCTTCAGTTCTGAAGAAGATTTATCAGACTGGAAACATCAACTCTGCTTCCTCTCTCTGCCAGGCCTGCTGACTTTCTGCTTTTATTTTGGACCCTCTCATTTTTTGACTACACTTAAGGCAGTCCCTTTCTGGAGACTTTGCATGGAGCTGTTCCTTTACTTGGCTAATTAAGGTGAAGATGACAGGACTAGGCAGAGGACATTTGGCCAACCATGTTGTCATGTCTGTTTCCATGGAGAGGGAGCACAGTGTGATGACAGAGATGATTGAGACCTTTCACAATCAGTGAGAACTGTGGGGAAACCCAGTGAGCCATCAGCAGCAGGAATTTAAACTATCAGTTTCCGACTAAGGCGTTATTTTGTTTTCATTACAGTGCACCAGTTATAAGAGCAACCAAAGCATGTATTGGTCTCTGTGTCCAGTTAATTGGGCCTCCACCTCAGTCATCTCCTTTCTTTTACAGTGAACTACTATACTCACGCTCACAAAAATCCAGAAACAAAATATCTGCAGGTGGATGCAATTCTCCAAATGGACAGCACTCACTGGACACTTCTGAATGTAGCAACAGTTCCACCGACAATTTATGAGAAACAGTTGAGCTTGTAGCAAGGTCCATTTTTGGTTGGTAACGGCACCAAACCCAGTCTCTGCGAACAAAAAGAATGTGAACTTTTTACGAAATGCCCTGTGGGGTTCTTGGGGAACCCCCAATTAGTATCCTGTTGCTGTCTCCGAGGTAACACTTTGACCAATCAGAGTCATCTTGCCAACCAATCAGCACCCTTTTCTCCTGTCGTATAAATTGCTGTGTAACTGTTTGAAATTAGAATCATAGAATCCCCACAGTGTGGAAGCAGGCCATTCGAGTCCATATACACCCTCCAAACAGCATCGCACCCAGACCCACCCCCTACCCTATCCCTGCATCTCCCACTCTAGACACTGTAGGCAATTTCCCATGGCCAATCCGCCTAACCTGCACATCTTTGGACTGTGGGAGGAAACCAGAGCACCCGGAGGAAACCCATACAGACACAGGGAGAATGTGTAAACTCCACACAGACAGATACCCAAGGGTGGAATCAAACCCGGGTCCCTGGCGCCGTGAGGCAGCAGTGCTAACCACTGAGCCACCATGCCACCTTTTGGTATCCTTCCATCTCTCCTGATGAGGGAAAGAAGCAACATTTTTGAATAGGAGCAGGAGTAGGCCTTTCAGCCCATCAAGCCGGCTTCGCCATACATAATTTGGGCTGATCATCCAACTCAGTCCCCAGTTCCTCCTTTCTTCCTATAGTCTTGGATTCTTTGAGCTTCAGCAACCGTATCTAACTCCCTTTTTTTTCAGCAATACTCAAGAGCCTTGCAAGGAAATGTTTTTGTTAAAAATGTGATGTTTTCTCATTAGGACTAATAGCTTTTAAAAATCTCTCCCTTCTTTTCCCTTGATATAAAGATACCAGTGCAGAGCTGCAGCCCTTAGTGGAACTCTGGCCACACACCTTCAAAGTCCCAATCAAGGTGGAAGATAACCAGGGCTCTGGTGAAGTCCAGAACCTGGATGTTAGTGTGATCGAGTGTTCTGGCAATGACCTGACATGCTCTCCTGAAAAAATCCCGCGGATTGGATCCAAAAATGCTGCCCTCGGTGCACCTGCCATTGGCCTCTTGGTCCTTGGAGCTTTGCTGTTACTCCGTAAGTAATTGGACGTACAGGCATCGCTAGGCAGTAACACCAGCACAGCCACAATGGGCCAAATGGGCTGCCACTGCACCTTAACAATGCTGTAATTCATTTCATTTTTTGAGCCACCCTTCCCACACTCCACCACCCCAGGACGTCCTTCTCTCCTTCATGATCCAGCTTCCTCTGACATGCATCACCACATTCACCTCACCTTAAGACAACAGACTGTCGACCATCATAAAAGCCACAACTGGGTGGCTTTAGGGGAAGAGAGACCCGCCATCTCTATGGGAGACCCGCCATCTCTAGGGGAGACCCGCCACCTTCAGGGGAGACCTGCCACCTTTAGGGAAAGGGAGACGCGCCACCTTTTAGGGCAGGGGAGACGTGCCACCTTTAGGGGAAGGGAGACCCACCATCTCTAGGGGAGACCCGCCACCTTCAGGGGAGACCTGCCACCTTTAGGGGAAGGGAGACCCGCCACCTTTAGGGGAGGGGAGACCCGCCACCTTTAGGGGAGACCCGCCACCTTTAGGGGAGGGGAGACCCGCCACCTCTAGGGGACGGGAGACCCGCCACCTCTAGGGGAAGGGAGACCCGCCACCTCTAGCGGAGACCCGCCACCTTTAGGGGAAGGGAGATCCGCTCCCGCCCCCTTTACGGGAGGGGAGACCCGCCACCCTTAGGGGAGGGGAGACCTGCCAACTTTAGGGGAAGGGAGACCTGGCGTCTCTAGGGGAGACCCGCCACCTTCAGGGGAGACCCGCCACCTTTAGGGGAGGGGAGACCCACCATCTCTAGGGGAGGGGAGACCCGCCACCTTTAGGGGAAGGGAGACCTGCCACCTTTAGGGGAGACCCACCATCTCTAGGGGAGGGGAGACCAGCCACCTTTAGGGGAAGGGAGACCCGCCACCTTTAGGAGAGGAGAGACCAGCCACCTTTAGGGGAAGGGAGACCCGTCACCTTTAGGGGAGGGGAGACCCGCCCCCACCCCTTTTAGGGGAAGGGAGGCCCGCCACCTTTAGGGGAGGGGAAACATGCTACCTTTAGCCACTCTGGGCCTCTGTGTAACTCCACAAGCGATGCCTCTGAAATGGCCCTTGCAGGCTACTCCCTTCAAGAGGCAAATAGGGATGGGCAACAAATGTGGGCCTTGCCAGTGAAGCCCATGTCCCATTGAAAGAGTAATTGTGAAAAGCTCATTCTGTTTTGGGGACTGTGCTCCTCCACACCTTTCCACCTTTGCCACGTGATTACTCGACAACACCCAACACAGGAGCCGGTGGGGATGGGGGAGGGGGAGTGATGGGGCAGAAAGGCATTGGGTGGGTGGGGAGTGGGGTGCCGAGTGCATCATTTCTTTCTTTCGCCTCTCGTCACAAACAATGGCAGCTTGATAGCAGTTTTAATAAACCGCGTTTCTAATATCATCAAATGATTTGTCCACAGTCGCTCCTCTCCTGCTGCTTTTCTGCAATTGTGGTGGTGCCGGAGGGACTTTTACACAAGTCAAAGACTTTAAACAGATCCCCATTGAACCTCTGGGATACCTGGAAAAGACCAACGTTGAAGGAGGTGGCGAGGTGGACACGGTCTGTATCCATGTTATTTCCTTTTCTAACCCCCTATCAGGCCCTTAGCAGCTCTTGGACCAACTATTGTTTCCATCAATAAGTGGAGGCGATGGCCTAATGATATTATCGTTGGACTGTTAATCCAGAAACCCAGGTTCAAATCCTGCTATGGCAGATGGTAGAATTTGAATTCAATAAAAATCTGGAATTAAGAGTCAAATGATGACCATGAATCCATTGTTGATTGTTAGAAGAATCCATCTGGTTCACTAATGCCCTTTAGAGAAGGAAACTGCCATCCTTACCTGGTCTGGCCTACATCTGACTCCAAACACACGTGATTGGTTGACTGTCAACTGCCCTCTGGGCAATTAGGGATGGGCAATAAATGCTGGTCTATCCAGCAATCCCATGAATAAATTTAAAAAACAAATCTTCAGTAATATCCACTTGGTGACAGAGAGCTTGAGAATTACTGGAAAATGGTGAATGCTGTTGAAGATGATGATCTTGCACTCACCAGGAGCGATATAATGCCAAGTTTAGAATTTCAAAACAAAAGTGAAAGCTGAGGGGAACAACAGATCCCTGATGCATTCTCCAAGGACAAGCCTTGATCAATCAAGGCCAACTTGCCATCCTTTTCTCATGCAATATAAATTGTTGTTCCCCTTGAACATCGGCATTGTTGTGTCTACCCGAGTGACTGCAAGGTAAAAAAAAACACAGGACAGTCTGTTTCTGTCTCAAGCAAAACTTCACTACTTAAAAAGAAAGCTTCAAAAAGTAATGGAATGGTGAACAGAAGAGCCACCTTGTAAATTTTAGACATAATTTTTGAACTCCTATTTATTCTTTTATCTGGAGTGGTAACGTAAAACTTCATATACACCCACACATTCACTTCCATTGACTTTGGTGGCTCAGTTGACCAAACAGTGGTTGTAGTTCTGATTAAAGCTAACAGCACAGGGTTCAAGATACATTTGGGGAGAGATGTGGCTCCCTCCCTATTACGGGAGGTCATGGAATTGCAAATCAAATCTTTCGGGCAGGGAACCAAAGAAGAAAGTGATTAATCTGTGCTATTCCTCTCCCTCTAGACTTCTCCTTTGCTTCCAGTTGATGGATCTGGTGGAATGGCATCTGGTGGAATGGCATCTGGTGGGATGGCAGCTGCTGGGATGGCAGCTGGTGGAATGGCATCTGGTGGGATGAAAGTCGGCACGCTCTCTGAGGTTGACGGCTACAAGGGTAGATTTTCGCGAGAAACAAAATACACAGTCGGGGGTTCGGAAATAATCAGTTCGGGAGTAGCTCCTGCTTATATCGAGAGGTTTTCAATGGCAGGGACATACCGGCCCATCTCTGGAGCAGCCCACGATAGGAGAATGTCTAGCAGCTACAGAGGTTACATTGGGTCGTACATTAATGAGGTATGTGGAATTTGACAGCTTATTAATGAAACTTAATTAATATGGCGAAATGAAGCGTGATTTGTAAAACTATGTCTTCTTGGCAGCTAAGGCAAAAGTTGAATGCAATTCTTAAAATGAACCATGATATCGCTAATTTTATTTTATTCACTGGTGGGATGTGGGTGTCGCTGGTTGGGACCAGAACTTAATGCCCATCCCTAACTGCCCTTGAGAAGGTGGTGGTGAGCTGCCTTCTTGAACTACCATGCTGTGGGGACGCCTGCAACGCTGTTAGGGTGACCTTGAAATACTGTAATCCACTTGATGTCGGCGCACCTACAGTGAAGCAGACACTCGTTGTACCTGTAGTATATTGACGTTTTGCGATTTGCATCCTAGGACACCCAGATCCCTCTGCACTGCTTTTCTAATCTTCCCATCCAAAATGGAAAAGTTCACATTTTACAATGTAGTACTTTAGAAGCACCTTTTGCTGCTGATTTTTGGGGAATTTTTCTCATTGCGTTTGACATTTTTGCTTTTTTTTTTTAGAAATTGAATGGCTGCACTGAAGAAGATCAGAACCGTCCAGCCCGAGATTGTCTCCTGGTCTACAACCATGAAGGAGATGGCTCACCTGTTGGTTCCATTGATAGCTGCAGCTTTATCGAGGATGAACCCCAGTTTAAGGATTCTTACTTGGATGACTTGGGCCCGAAATTCAAGACATTGGCCGACATCTGTGTTGGTAAATTTGAGAGTCAAACGTCAACTGTCAGCATCGATCCTCTGGTCAGAGAAAGCTTCTCAAGGACAGAAACATCTGTTTCATCCAGCTCAAGAGGGCTTCATGGCTTGAACATTGTCGCTGACCCACCACGAATGCAGCAGAAGAATTATGTTGTGACCACAACAATTAATCCTGTGCCCGAGGGGTTGCCTGGCATTGTGGATTTGCCTGTCGCTCACCAAAATGTCATAATGACTAAGCAAGTTAACGCCAATGCAGGAGGGGTGCCAGCTTTGGTCATTGACCCATCAATCACTCACCAAAATGTGGTTGTCACCAAACAAGTCAACACCAACGCTGGAGGAATGCCAGCGATGGTCATTGATCCATCCGTTGCCCACCAGAGCGTCATAATGACCAAACAAGTCAACGCCAACCCTGGAGGAATGCCAGCAATAGTCGTTGACCCATCAATCACTCCCCAAAATGTCATAATGACCAAACAAGTTAATGCCAACCAAGGAGGTATGCCAGCTATGGTCATTGACCCATCCATTGCTCACCAGAATGTCGTGCTGACCAAGGCTGTTAACGTCAGCTCAGGGGGCACGCAAGGAATGGTCATTGATCCGTCGTTCAGCCAGGTGCCCGAGGTCCACAAAAATGTCACACTGAGCAGGCCGATTTCCTCTGGCACCAGGCAGGAGCAGAACACGGTGGCCAGCTCGTCGCTCTGTCAGATCCCCATCATCCACAAGAACGTCACTCTGACAAGGCCGTCCCACAGCGCTGCGGGAGGGGACGGCACCGGCGATTTCGGCACCTTCCCACTGGTCCAGAATAGTAGCACCACTCGCAAATCTGTCACATCCACTGACGGTGTGCATAAAACAGTGACAAAAGTGACTAATGTTACGCAGGTAATGCAGGAATAGGCAGCACCTGATGAGAGATAATTCACGGACAGAGAAAAGTTTATGTTTAAAAATCAGTGCATTTTGTTTTTAATCGAGATGTAAAAATATGACTGCTGTGTGTAGTTCATGTGCAATTCAAACGCCAGTAGCATTTTATACAAGGGACCAAAGTGCAGTATATTTCTTGAGCTTCATCAACAGAAGTCATGCTCTAAGGTCCTTACATGTTCTGATTATTAACAAGTTACATGCACATCAAATATTCCAGTGGCTTTGTAGTGATTGTAACGAGGTCAGCCAAATGAACCTCGTAGGAGTTCCCTGATTGGGGCTGTTAGCCTGGTCCAATCAGGGAGCCCTGGCTGACAGATATAAACAGGAGTGTCAGAGGTTCTTTTCTCTCTGAGAGCTGGCTCTGAGGGAGCTGGATCATTGTTAAGGACTCTCCGCATGTAAATAAAGGGGACTTGGTGATGAGATACCAGTCTTTGTGAAGGTATCTCAGGCTTGTTACTGCTTGTCTTTTCCTGTTGCGAAGCCAGCTTTTAAAACACGACGGTGGAGGTAAAATATAAAACTACCATGATTTCTAATAATCTAAAATTTCAAAAACAAAAACAAAACAGAAATGCTGAAAATGCATCTGAAAAATAACCATCAAAACAGTTCAGGCCTTCCAGCTGATTCCACCAACCAAGAATTTCTGATCTCCTTGCTTCACTTCTCTGTCTGCCTCCCGTAACCCTTGACCCCTTTGTTTTATCCGCCTTTAAAGAAATAAAATTTAAATGTAAATAGATTTAATGACCAATCTCCGCTAGTGTCCAGCAAATGAAATTCCACACTCTAGACACCCACTAGAGAAACAAAATTCTCCTCGTCTCTCACCTTTGAATCTGTTAAGCATCTGTTAGTTGACACACTCATGCCTGGTAGATTTTGGAAAGTGACTCAAGAGCTTCTGAATTAACGTCTATCAAAGCCATGATTGTGTCCCCATCTCCTGTTATAGTGACTGCACGTTACAGAGGCTATTTTAAATGGCAACACCCCATCTCTTGAATTGGGAACAGACACTCACTATTTTTCAATTCCTGGATTTTGCCTAAAAAGTAAGGAAACTCAGAGAAATTTGCTTTTTAGAAAAAAAATTATTTGCCAGGTAGTTACACTGATAGCAACATGCTACATGTTTACCATTTACATCTCTACACATAGTATTTAACAATTAATTGGCTGACAGAATGGCAGAGTCTCATTCAATCAAAGCTGGGATCTTCTCAAAACGCATGTATTTCCAGTGACTGAACATTGTATTATGATTTGTCAGTGGATAAATACTGGAAGGAAATGTGTGTGCGGGGCTTTTGCTGAGGCAGAGAGGGAACACAGGTCTGGATTATTTAGACATACACACACACACAAAAATTGCTGGAAAACCTCAGCAGGTGTGGCAGTGCCTGTAGAAAGAAAGCAGAATTCACGTTTCGGGTCCAGTGACCCTTCTTCAAAACTCCAGAGTTCCCATCAGAACCTGTTCTGAGCAAGGGTCACCAGATCTGAAACGTTAACTCTGCTTTCTCTCCACAGATACTGCCAGACCCGCTGAGGTTTCCCAGCAATTTCTGCTTCTGTTTCTAATTTCCCGCGTCTTTCGGTTTTTTTAATCTGGGATTATTTAGGTCGCTTTTTTAAAGAATTGTCAGAGGCACACCAAACTGAGTCACTTTGTTCTGTGCCATACTGTTCTTGAGGAAAATAAACCAGCACTTATTGAATTGAATAACAATGAACAATTCAGAAAAATTAAATAATTCAATGACAACATTCTTATATCATCATAGATCAAGTTTTTAAAAAATGACATGATTGGCTGAAAGTAATAATAGGCTAAAAGTAATTTACGTAGCGACAAGAAAAATGTGAGAAGTGAGTGTAATCTTTGGATTCATACAAGTGTATCTAACAAACCTGAACTTCAAATTATCTTTAACTTCATATATTTTGCAGAGGAACATAGATACATTGAGTGAGTGAGCAAAGGTCTGGCAGTTGGAATACAATGTAAGTAAATGTGAAGTCATACATTTTGGTAGGAGTAATAGTAAAAAGGATTATTACTTGAATGGTAAAAAGTTGCAGCATGCTGCTATGCAGAGGGACCTGGGTATCCTTGCGCATGAATCACAGAAGGTAGGTCTGCAGGTACAACAAGTGATTAGGAAGGCAAATGGAATTTTGTCCTTCATTGCTAAAGGGATTGAGATTAAAAGCAGAGAGGTTATGTTGCAGCTGTACAAGGTGCTGGTGAGGCCACACCTGGAGTACTGTGTGCAGTTTTAGTCTCCTTACTTGAGAAAGGATGTACTGGCACTGGAGGGGGTGCAAAGGAGATTCACTAGGTTGATTCCGGAGTTGAGGGGTTGGTTTATGAGGAGAGACTGAGTAGATTGGGATTATATTCGTTGGAATTCAGAAGATTGAGGGGGGATCTTATAGAAACGTATAAAATTATGAAGGGAATAGATAAGATAGAAGTAGAGAGGATGTTTCCACTGGCAGGTGAAGCTAGGACATGAGGGCATAGCCTCAAGATTAGAGGGAGCAGATTTAGGACTGAATTGAGAAGGAACTTCTTCACCCAGAGGGTTGCTAATCTATGGAATTCCTTGCCCAGTGAAGTAGTTGGCGTTACTTCAGTAAATGTTTTTAAAGATAAGGTAGATTTTTTTTGAACAATAAAGGAATTAAGGGATACGGTGAGAACGCGGGTAAGTGGATCTGAGTCCACGAAAGGATCAGCCATGATCTTATTGAATGGCGGAGTAGGCTCGAAGGGCCAGACGGCCTGCTCCTACTCCTAGCTCTTATGTTCTTATGTTCTTATATTGACAAGGGGGAGGGATACAGATCATGTGCACAGATTTAAATACTGTTCAAAAACAGAAATTTAGCAGGTCTGGCAGCATCTGTGGAGAGAGAGAAACAGAGTTAATGTTTTGCGTCCAGGTAACCCTTCGTCAGAACATTTTCTGTTTTTCTTTCAGATCTTCAGTTCTTTGTTTTATTAAATACTGTTCAGGTTATTAACTGGCTACATTTCACATTTGTAAAAGTAGAAAGAAAGTTTTTCTTGCCCCAAGGAAGACATTTATCAACCAATTTGTGGGTACAATGCTTCTAATCAGAGTGTGTTGTTTGTTTTGGAGATGTTTTAATTATACAGATATGGATGTAACTTTTTATTTTATGCAGAGGCTCTGAACTTTTTAATTGGTTCACTGGATTTGCTGTAGATATTTACATTTTAAGCTATATGTCAAAATAAACTTTTCTAAAAAATATCTTTATGGTGAGAGTAACTTCTGCACAAGAGTCATATCAAATGGTTTCAATCTCAAAGAAAAGTTACGATCAAAACATAAAAAGACTTGTGAACGTCAAAATGTTTCATTCTCCTCTACTCCACCACTACCCCTCAGCTCCATCCATCCCCTCATCTGTAGCTGCCTCCATCTCTATCTAACTCCCCTTTCTCTCTCTCTCTGTCCTCACCCCTCACCAACTGTTTCCTCTGCCCCTCCCCCATCTCCCTCTCTTTGTCACTATCCTTACTCCTTGCCCCAATCAATCCCTTCTCTATCTGCCCATTCCCTATTTCCCATCCCTGTGACTCACCCTTCTACTTTCCCCTCTACATACTCATCTCCCCTCCATTCCCTTCCCCTCTCCTCTATCCCTTTCTCTGATTCCTGACACCCTCTCTTCCTGTCCCTTCCTGCTCTCTACTCCCCAACACCCCTTCCTTTCCACCCTCACACCTCCCTACCCCTTTTTCTCTCCCTTTCCACCTATCTCTCTTCTCCCTACCCCTTACTCGACCCTCACTTTACCCCC